TACCGACAATGAGCAACGAACATTAACAACTAATTTTCTAGTTTTATAAAATATAAAAAAGAAATCTGATACAATTTTGGTAATTTTTATAGTACTTTTTTTACTTACACTGTCCTGTAATATGACCAGCATGAAGGATAATAGTATCACAATAAAAAGAAAACAGTATTTTGTTCGTCAACATAGGCCTCTTTATATTGAAGTTAAATGTATTTACAGTTGCTAGCGACCGCGTGTCAAATGATTGTACACAAAATGTTACTTCTTCTTGTGACCGCTAGAGGGCGCTGTACAATTTGTCATACAAAATAGGACATCGGACAATCACAATCACGAGAATGTTTGTATATTCAAAACGATCACTCAATCATTCGTGAACAAAAAAAGTAATATTTTTAATCTACACCACGTGACGTCATACGTACTGCCCTCCTGGTCTAACGCATTTGTATTTCGGTAACTTTTCGACTTACTTTTTTCGGTAACTTTTCGAGATACTGGCGCCTTAAGTTTTATTGTCACCTAAAAAAATGTCAAATATGCTAATTTTGCTTAACAACTGAAACTAAATAAGATATTAAAAAACCGATTGGAGGAATTATAGATCTCGTGTAGCTGATTAATAACTAAATTACACTAAAAATGTTGATACGTTAGTTATGATCAAGAGGGCAGTGTAGGTAAGCAAGGAGACGTCACCGTATTCACCGTTCGTGTATGATCTTATGTTTTATCTCCGTGTAATAACTTTTTTAACGAAAACTTGTAACTACATGAAATTTTCGCAAGTGATAGGTGCACATTGTCTAGTTTGTTTACCAATGACGTCACGCGCTTTGAGTTAACATTGTAGTGTCCTTTATGCGGTAATTATTTTTTTATAACATTTAAACGTAGTTTTAGGGACTTGAAAAGCTTTTATCTAAATAAAACAATATTTTTCTTAGCTGTTAAATTCTTTCTGAGTCCCTATTGTGTAACTATTTAGCGAATGTCACTGTAATTTATTGTAGAGGTAGAGAACAAAAAATCTTCATTAGCAATCAAACATTAACTTGTCGTTAAGTAACGAAATTTCGATAACATGCTTTCATCAGTGCTTCTTAAGACCTAAAACCGCTTGGAATAATATGTATGTAGTTTAAGTAAAGGCTGATAAGTTTAGGGATGGGACACATTGGACGCGCTTCAGCACTTTTGCCTACAAAAAACTACAATGAATGAAAGCATTTTGTGCGGGAAACCAATCTCATCCTTGAACATTCTCGGTTCGAACGCGTACAATGCTAATTCCGACTGTTTCTGTTTCGTGTAATAGTAAATTCTTTTTGAGACAGTCGTTGGCTCCGTTTGTATTTCAAATCTGTAAGTCAGTCCTTGATGTTATGGCTAGATAACTATTATTAAGTAACGAACTTAATTTACACGCGTAAACAATCACTTAACAGCTGTTAAGTAATTATCGATTTAGTTTATAAGTAGATTAGAAGCAACACTATTTTGGTCTACTCCCGCTTCTCCCGTTCTCCGTCCCACATAATAACTGTCAATAAATAATACTCTGCCAAATTAATATGAAGTATGAAGCTTCATTCGCATCATTCTTCTTTTAGTTTGATCAGAGTACAGGAGTAGACCCCCGGGCCCGTACCCCGCGCAGATATACATGGCATTACTAAATTTCATTTTGTATCATGTTTGCTTCACAATTAATATGAGTTAGTTTAGGTAGTTTTTTGTTTGCAAACTGGACGTCGTGTTCATATTCTTCCATTTTCCGAATAACAGAGTCCGATGTGATTATATAGCTTAAAGAGAATAAGTACGTTACGAGAATAATTTCGTTATTCGATCTGACATCTACAGCGAAGAACGAACGCAATGGACTATGTCTTGGGAATAAGTAGTCTTGCACATATATCTTTGTTCTACGGATGAGTGAGTGTACTTTCAACTTTACTAAAACACGTGTAAAAGCTAGACTACTTAAAATTAACACTACAGCATAGTTAATTACTCCGTCACTTAACCTATTCATGTACAGTACTTAAATACCAACATACAAAACTGTCACTACTTTTCTTGGTGCCGAAGTGCTTCGTGTTTTAATATAATATAAGGGGAATGTGCGCAGGAACTTTTCAACTTAGTTCCACCCTCACCGTTCCTCCTCCGGTCGACAAAATGTCCGGAGCACTCCATTCTTATGTCGTTGATATTCCACCTATTCGCACTACGCGCTTTGCTTCCTCCTTTCTGATGCGTACGGCAAAGGAATGGAATCCTCTACCGGCAATCTGTATTTCCCGAAAAGTACAATTTGGGGCTATTCAAGGCTAGAGTGAATAGATATTTTTTAGGCAAACACGTCCCGTCGTCGGTCACATCGTCGCTTAACATCAGGTGAGATTGTGGCCAAGCGTGTGTCTATTGTATATTAAAATATATACTATATATATATATATATATATATATATATATATATATAAGATCAACGTGCTATCAAACTACATTCATAAATGAATGTAGTTTAAATAGCACGTTGTTGATACCTCTCTATGGAGAAACAATAGGCAGAAACAACACAGAAAGCACTTGGAAATCGCACTGTAAGTTGGTTTTTTAACACACTTTTAAAAAAGGAGGTTTTCAATTCGTATGTTACGGGGATTTATGAACCGATTTTGATGATACTTTTTTAGTTTAAAGAGGGTACCCCAGTATTGATCCCATTTTTTGCAAAAAATATTCCACCTGTAAGGGTGTTAAATATGGGGATGAAATCGGTTTCGCGCGCTTCCAATAAAACTTGACAAATTGGTTTTTTTATAAAAAAAATTGTAATTACTTGAGATCCATGTAACGAAACGGGTACCTCGCGTCCCTTGTTGAGTTCTCGTTCAGTGTATGCGTTATCTTGTTGCCATCAGCAGACAAAAACTAAAGACGTTCGAAGTCATTTAGTGTACATGTTTTTAAAATTCCATCGCGACAAATCAAAATATTTTACTGAAATATCAAATATCAAAAAATACATGACTAAACGCCATACAGACGAAGTCAATAGGCAAAATACTGGTCGCCGTCGTACAATGTGTGTTATCCCTTATTTTAAGGCTTAGTTTAGAACACGAAATGTAATATAATCTACTGTATTTATCATTTAACGACTTAGTACAAGCGGTTTATTTACCCTTAAAAAATAATATAGAACAATCTTAGAAATAATTATAATAAATTACATAATAAATATTGTCTACTTACATAGGCAAGATGTTTATCTTAAATCTTAATAAAATCACATGATAATTGCTGGTATTTTTATTTTATATCGTTGTTTCACTGGTGATTTGACTTGGCTTATGTTGAAATTCAATAATTTGTAATGCTAATCAAATAAATGGATAATTAACTTGCAATTAAATCAAATGGACAATAAATTGAAAATTTATTTGAATTCGTTTTTCAGTATTTCAAAATAGACCAAAGATGTCAATAAGTCCAGTGGAAAGCTCCGCCCATTTCTTAGCAAAACGATAAATAGGCTCAATTTATATTAATGCGGAACGGAATGGTAGTGAATTTTTGCAACTCTATATGGTATCACTTTACATTTAACCATTTTTCAATTTAATAAGAAACATTTAATTCTCGCTAATTGTCCAAGTTTGCTGTTACTGTCTAAACGAACATTGGTATCAAATATCAACAGTAGCATCATCAATTTCGACGCTAACGTCCCAGCCTTAAATAGTAAATAAGGCCATACAAAATTAACCTTATTTCAAAATTGGTTTCCTGTACCGATATTGCCATTGAAATTGAATTAGTTAATTTTAAAGGACTTAACGCTTTGCTTGTAATACCATTTATTATTATTGAGAAAAATAACTTCGTTCTGAACACATCACAATAATAGTTAGAGATCTTGGAAGCATAAACTAAGCCAGGCAAAGTTTGACATTGAAAACAGATTATTTCTTAAATCTTGGTGGACAAGCGACATCCGAAGTGGAAGTTTCTGATTTGGAACAAATGCGAATCGGATGTAGTGCGCAAAGGCGCTTAGTTGGTAAGAGCAATAGCCACGGTGAGGCAACAGACGCTGGTTGGATTCCAATGATATCGAAGGTATTTTTGTGTTAGTTCGAACTTCGTCTCAATAATAATAAGATTCCTGTTAGTAAATCGTAACATCTGAAAGAGTCATCATTGAACGTAAACTGTGGCCGGTACATGCTCAAATCCAAGTCAGAGAAATGATTATTTAGCGGATTTTATCGGAGCCATTTGAAAAAGCAACTTTTTCACAAAGACGACATATTGGTTAACTGAATCGGTTCCTAGGGTAGCTGCGGGGTGCGGGACGTCGTAATGTCGCGTAACAGTTATGTCGCGCTGTACACGGGATAATTTCAACAAGATTTTTCTGACGATATTCAATAACAAGTTGATTGAAAAAAGTGCCAAATGGCTCGTCTTTCATTTCAGTTATTAACGACATGGTTTTTTTTATATCGTTTCACATAACAACACTTTGGTAAGCACGATTTTCAATGAACTTGCTATTGAAATGGTCAGAAAAATCTTGTTCAAATTCTGCTGTGCGTAGTGCAACATATCTGTCATGTAAACAGTCACTCTTCCGCACCGTGCGGCTACCTCAAGGACCGACTCAGTTAAGCGATAGACGTTGCTGCATTGTTTGTCTAAAACAATGTGACGCCAAGAAAGAAATGAGCGTTTATAATAGTTGAATGAATACGAGATAGATATGGGAGCATATCTATAATTGGACTGAAAATGGGGCGTATGAGAGCGCGATTATGGTTGCTGTGGCGTAAACCGGGAACAAGTCCGTCAAATCGTTCATTGAAATTCGGATCTCCGTTCAGAAACTTGAGTGCTATATTTGCTATCGATTAAGTCCAATAAAATCAGCTAGTTTCATTATAAGTACTTTGCAAAGAAATGTGTTTAATTTAAGCAAAATACAAATGTTATTTAAAGAATATTCGAGTTGGATTATCTCCACTACTAGGTATCTCTATAAACGGATGAGTTTCCTTATGTGCTTGCATTTCACTGTCTGATGAAAACTTTTCACCACAAATGTCACATGCTACGTCAATTTTGTTTACACTGTCACTATCACAGTCTTGTTCTTTGTCACCACTACCTTTATCTTTTTTCTTTTTAACTACTCTATCTTTCTTTTTAGTATCTTTCTTCTCGTCTACAGAAGTTGATTCTTCTATCAATGGTTTGCCAGTAAGTAAATATTCTTTAATGTTTGCATGTTTCAATGACATTTTGTGCTTTTTCAGTCTATTTTCGGAACTACACTGGTATTCACATATGAAACAAACGTATTTCATATCCCCTGTATGAATCTCAGCATGCGCTTTTCGTTTTTCAGGTGTTGCGAAGCGGAAGTCGCAAAATTTACAAGGATATTTTCGATCTGGTGAATGTAAACGCATATGAGAAGTCAAAGCGTTGATATCTTTGCAAATCTTTCGACATTCCAAACACATGATTCCTTCAGGTAATTGGTCTTTGGTCTCTTCAAAGTTCTCACTATGGTGTACTCTACGATGCGATGTAAGACCTTTTTGACTAATGAAGACTCTTCGACAATCCGTACATCGAAATTGGGGCTCGGATTTACATTCTGGACTATGAGCTTCAACTTCATGCAACGCCAACTTATCAGGTTCCAAAAACTGTAAGTCGCACTCTTGACATTTCCAAGCCTGTACCAATTTTGAGAACGCTTCGAGGACATCAAAGACGGACTGACATTCAACTTCTGGGTGATAAGTTTTCATATGATTAGCAAAATCTATTATTTTGGGAAAACTATTCTTGCAATGCGGGCATGAGTATGTACCTTTGTGATCCCTCATCACATGGGTTTTCAAATCAGATAACTCAACGTAAGTTTTCGAGCACATGAAACAGCAAAGCTTTTTCTTCCCCTTCATAACTTCGGATATGACTTTGTACTCCATTAGTTGCACTTTTTGGTGATCCTGTAAATGTTTGAACAGTTCCTTTCTTGTATCATAAGCTGTCGGACAAAACTTACAAGGGAACTTTTTACGGTGCAACCGTTTCTTATGCAATGCGAGTTCGTCTTTACTTTTGAACTGTTTTGTGCATGTTACGCAAGAAACACAATTCGACGCGGATTCAAACAAATCATGGGATCTTAGACAAGTTTCCATTCTACTTCTTCTTTGGAAGGTTTTCCCACATGTACAATTGTACCCTTCCTTTTTTTGTGGCGCTGGAGTATCTTCAACCAATTTATAATATCTTTCATTAACTGGTTTTTTCTTCTTAACTGTTTTTCTTTTTGTCTCCAAACCTCTCAATACGCCTAAGGCGCGCTTTTCAATAGATCGGTGGACCCCTAAATGCCTCCCAAGTCCCCATTTTTCCTTGTAAGTCTTTGGACATTCTGTGCATTTGTATCGTTTTTTTGGTTCACCAATTTCTCCATTCTTACTTTCTAGTAAATACGCTTCTTGTTCCAAAGACAACACGTTTCCAGTTATACTGTTGAGTTGGAACTTGTCTAAATCGTCGTTTTGGTCTAATGATCCTTCAGCAAGGTACAGTTTTAGGTCTGGTTTGGTGTCAATCTCGTCGTATGACATGTCTTCATCATACATGTCGTCATGTAAACCACTGTCATCGGTATACGAAGCACCATTCGAACATGTTGGTACTATTTCTTTGGGTATTGTCTTTTTGACTACCTTTTTGACCACTATTAGTCCAGTGGGTATGCTTGTATGTTCCGATTTAAAATCATTGACATGTGTAATGCTAATTTCCGATAATGTTATGTCGGCTTCCATTTTGATGTTTGGTTCACACAAATCTTCTTTCTCCTGAAAAGAAGTAAGCGTTTAGAATTATCAGAAGTGGGATTACGTTAAATTTATGTTTCGAAGACAATGATATGGAAACATTGTGCTCACACTACGGCCTGTATTAAAAAATATAAACAAGGTGGCCCATTTACAGTGGTCGTTTTATTTTAAGTAGAGAACGTTAGTTTTTTTTTTACTTTTTGTAAATTTCCTACACTAGTTATAAAAACCATACTAGTTAGATATCATATTTACTCATTCTAGTTGGTTAGACGATACTTATACACAGTGCGATACTTTCGTTTTACGTTTTTATTGTCCTTTCAACTAGTACAACTTTGGTATCTTCTAAATTGTCTTCAAAGCCTTTTGAAACAGATAGAACGGTCTGGCTCCACTTCCCTTTAATTTAATTTGAATCAAAATAGTAATACTGTCTGTAAGCTGATTTTTATAAGTTGTATTAAGAGCCATATTGCCTTGAAGTTAAAGATATTATCATACTAAGCAATAATTCAATAAGTCTGTACAAGTAGAACTGTTTGTACTTCAAACATGAGATCCTAAATATAACCAGCCTAACTGAAGACAGATGACGTTGAACAAATCAATTACAAAGCACACATCATTGTTATTGTTACACTGTGTTGTTTTCTATAAATTGCATTACCATAATCAAGAAGTTAGTAATGTTGTACTCGATTCCCGGGTCGGGAGAAATATTTGTATGGCCTACATTTATTTCCTCGTGAGTTTGGGTGTAATTTGTGGTTGTCTACGTGTGTGTCCACGACACAGGGATTCCCTAGTGCGGGGCTATGTTGAGTGTGTACGTTATGTTGAGTGTGTACGTTGTACGTACACTTAATACACACTATAGCGTCAAAGGTGTTGGCAGTACTCTGGGTATAAAAAACACGCATAGTCTGGACGCAGTGTTGAAGCGTGCTTATTAGAGTCCATCCCTGAATGATCAGTCGATGCCTTACGATAACTGACCCCATAGCCGGTCTTTTAGTTCCGAGAATCTTCTTACTTACCCCCTAGTCGACCTTTTGTCCTGAGAATCTTCTTAGCATTCAACAGATACAGAATAGTGTAAAGGAATTCTAGCTTTTTGAAGTAAATTTGTATTTATGTAATTAATTAAAGATCAAATTGGTTTAAAAAGTTTCTTAAAACGTCATTCACTAATGTAATGATGCAAGAAGGAAGTCATATCAAAATGAATTTTATATTCATAGGGATCACAGGTTAAAGGTTAGCTTTATTTAACACCGTTTTTCACACTGGCTACTCAGAACCGAATAGTCGGTTAGGGGTTCAGGTCTCGGTCTAGACTATGCATTGGAGCCTTTACGCTTCACTAATGCGATTTCAACGTTTTTAAGAAAATAGATGTACACACTTGGACACATAATTCGAGCCACCTTGCATTTTTAGTATTAAATTACCTAAATTAATGTTCGATTAGGAAATGAAACTATTTTTCCGGATTTAAATCGCGTATGTTTGTTTATTCAAACAAATCAACAACAACCGTGACCAAGGGACCCGTAAAGTACCCGAAACGTTGGTTTGTTTGAAAAAGCAAATATAGGCGATTTAAATAAGGAAAAATAGTTTCATTTCCTTTGTATAACAATCGCGAAAACCTAATAACTCGATTCGACTGTTCAAAAAATATTCTGCAATTTTGAAACCGGTCTATATATCATTACCACAAGCTCTTGTTGAAAATTTGGATTAGTAAAACCGGGTAAAATTTGTCTTCAATGATGATAACAATATTTTTCTATACTAACCTTGTTTGTGTACTAATTCATTTCTACAAAGTTGTGTATACCAGTAATAGGCAAATGTATAAGAACAATTCCTCTTACCATAAATCTTTTTGAACTAAATTATATTTATGCTGTTGGTGTACCTTTATAAATAAATAAATAAATATTGTGTATAAGGCGGCGCGAATTATTAATATTATGAAAATCTTTACAACATTCAACACTTTGAATTTTTGACTGCATAAAAAAAATCGAAATGCGACTTCGAAATATGATTTTAATTTTTAACGGGAAAAGTGATGTTGTAACATAACATACGCGCATTTTTGCAAAATACACGGCAACCGTGCCGTGAATGTTCTTTATTAGAAAATATAACAATGGCACAAAAGCGAGCTAGAGACTCTAATTGAAAAAATATTATTCTCTTTCAAGGTATGTTATAGCTACAAATTGAAGTTTAAATAATTAATATCACGACATTCAGGTGTAAAGTAAATTTCTTTAGTCATAATTTATGAGACATAAAAGAATCTGCATCTCACACTATAGCGACATCTGTTGAAAGACTAAAAATCAACAGACAACAATTAAAAATGCGTATTACTATTTAAAAACAGTAACTTACCTCACACGCTTCAATTTCAAATTTAATATTGAATTCTTCTTGCAAACAAGCCTCCACATTGCCCAATGCAGTTGCATCATCACTGTCCATGCTCACTGAATCATCGAAATTCGGAGAACCATATGATACCAGAGAATCATTATTTCGTACTTCCTCTTTCACATTAATTCCTTCATTTGTTACATTTGGAGTAATTTCAGTTTCAATTCTTGAATTTGAATTAATTATTCTTGTATTCGAAGTTATCAGTTCTGAATTTAAAATTAATGTTCCAGAATTTAAAGCTAACATTTCTGAATTGGAAATTTCTGGTTCTGAATGTTCCTGTTTCACTTGTAATTGAATATTATCAAACGAGTTATCCATGTGATTGTTCTGCAGTTCAATTTTGACGTTATCAGTTTCATTTTCTATAAGACATTGGTTTTCATTTGACATTGTGTCTATCTCTTGTTTGAGTGCCAACAACAGCTGCTCTTGTGTCTCCATTGTGACTGTAATTGAACAAAGTTTTGTTATAATATACCTACATTGCTATACTTTATAATTTCGATAAATTTCTTGAGACCTATTTTCACTTATTTATATTATATTATAATAATATAGTGTAGTATTGTCAATGTAGAAAACAAACTTTTCTATATTATCTCGGGGCCGGGTGTTTATGGAACTATCGTTGCCTCCGATTTCCGTAACACAAGTACTTTAGTTACTTACATTGGGATCAGAGCAACATGTTATGTTGTCTAATGTTTAATTTACATTTAATTACATGTTAATAATGGTTCATATATATCTACCATAAATTTATATAACAAATAAGGGAAATTAAAAATTGTTGCTAACAACACTTTTGTATAATTAAAATAAACGGTCTTGATAGTTAAGATTTTTGAACTGAAAATGTTATTGTACTTCATTCATTAAATTTAGTTTTTTTTAGAATGCATAGAACTCTTCCTTTACTATGTCGATGATGATCATGCTTGCTCAGTAGATTGTGCGACCTATGTATCTATCATGGACAGCATCTTATTTTTATTTTATTTATTTAGGACAACCAACAAGTCATACACTTAATACATACAATTATGATTACACAATTCAAATGAAGTAGTGTCAAAGTGTTGGCTCAATTAAAGGTTGCCACAACATGCAACAGTCAAACACAGCTAATTATTTATATACATAATATATACAGTTATTCGCATTATATATAGTACAATATTATAGTTTAAATATCAAATATAGAAATATATGATAAACTTTACAAATAAAAATAAAGTAAAATGTTAACAAACGTAAATAAAAATTATGTGTGCAACTACAATTATAAAGCCATAATAATATTCAATTATTGAATTGATATTCAAAAAATTGAATATCAATTCAATAAAAAAAATTTAACTAATACAATGAATAGCGACATCTCTCGCCAGGACTGGTAGCTGTAAAGGTACTAACTGGGTGATAAATCTGCAATAGAATTCTCATAGATGGCGCTACGACTAAAAAGTCGTTGAAAGACCAAGTACAAAGACACGACGCATACACATAGAAAAATTCATGAGGTCCGTTGGTACGTTCCGTGGCTTAGTTGGTATAGCGTCTGGCACGGTACGCAAGAAGACGTCGGTTCGAATCCGACCGGATCGAAGGAATTTTTTCTGAGTGTTCGATCTTTGTATTAATAATTATAACAAACTAGTGGAGTAATTTCACAAAAAATAATTGAATATCAATTCAATAAAAATTTAATTAATATACTAAATATTTTTGATCTTTCATCAAGGCAAAAAAAGCCGATGGTAACCATGACCGTTTATGTGTAAACGACCAGAATAAAGTAAATAAGACTTTAGCCACATATCATTTCTTACAACATAAATGGACGAAAATTAAAAACGTCATAACACAGAACTTGAAATTCTGAATTGGACTTGTGAATAACATTTTTCCCAATAAAAATTCCATTATAAAATAGACTATTCGCCTAAAAAAGGTTTTCATTTAAGAGCTCACAAACTCAATATTCTCATAAAAAAATCCTCAAGCAAAATAAAAGAAATAAGTACAATTAAAGAGAAAAAGTTGTACATTTTGATTGGTTTTATGATGATATTAGACAGGATATTATGTCTGAATGGTTTTTACCCTAAATAAATATTATATAAAATAAAATACTTAAGTAACTAGTGGTGATCACAATAGATTTGTCAATGGTCGCAGTGGTGAGGGGCTAATAAAATTAATAATAATATTAATACATAAATAAGTCAGACTGCCTTCAGCATAAGTGTATTGACTGAATGATAATTCCAGGATAATGGAAGATTTTTTTAAATTATTTTTTCTTTAATCCATTAAACATATTGTGAAATTGTCAATTATATATGAAACGTTTTGTAATGAATTAAAGATTACCATAAGCTTATTATTTTTTAATAGTTTCTAATTTTGGTTTTATAATAAATAAAATGGATTTTGTAGAATTATATATATCCATATCTCAAGAATTTTATTAATTTCTTTTATCAAGTGTGGTTAAAGAAATTGTATAAAATGCCTAAGGATGCAAATGAGTTCCAACAGAAAGAAGCATTACTAAATATAAAGTAATGTAACTTGAAAATGTAAAATATACAAATAAAACATACAAGTTAGGTGAACAATCAATCAACCGTACTATTACTTAAGTTGTAGTAAAAACTCATTACAACTTTTAAAATTACTTTAAAATAAATATAAACATACATAATATACATAATAAACCTAGAATTTATATTACAAGTGTATAAAATATAATATGTTATTATGCAGCAACATTATGCAGTAGTTTGCCGGGCCTTAGGAGATTAAAAAAGAAGAGTTTAAATAAATGTGCTACAGGGATCAACTTGTAATAAATAAAAACATTTATTTCATGGCATTATGGCCATCAGGGATTAAAATAGAACATCTGATTTTTATTTTGTGACTTTGTTGTCTGATTTCTAGACATGCATTTAAAGGGATGTCGGTTAATGAATTAAGTAAAAATTATATAAAGACGTAATGGTTACCCAACATACAATAGCGAATAGTAACCTTAAAAAATAAAATATACCTTCAAGGACAATACAATTTTTTTTTCAACTTGTTTCCAACTCTCAAACACTTACGTGCTTAGCGTAAATATACAAAACATGTTTAACATATTACTTTTGAAAATAAAACGTTTGATGGTTACCGTGCTGATGTAGAATTTGTATTATGTCAGCCGCAAAAATTAAAGGAACCTCGGTAATTGGAAGTCAATTATATAGTCAATCATAGCAGTCCACCATTGTCATTCACATTTTCACAAGAGACTGTGTCTTAAGCTCCCAATTTCACAACGCTGAACTGATTATATGCACTATATAAATTATTGCACAAAAATAAAATGAAAATAATGTGGAAAAAATCTGCTACCACAATCAAATCAATTTTTGCGACAAAAAACTTTGACAGTTTTGGTTTTTTTTCTGGGTCTTTTGTCTATGTAGGATTGTAGAGCTGCATTATACCGGTATTTTCTCATTTGTATTTTAACGCTACTGGCCACTAGATGGCGATGACAAGTATTCCTAATTTCTTCTACATTATCATAGACAAGCAGCGTTCAAAAAATCCAAAATGGCTGCAAAATCCGTATTCGTATCGCATCTTATTTGATGAGAACGCATCAATAATTTGATTGTGGTGGTAAAATCGCTGAATTTGAGTTTGTTTTGTTGTCACAAAAATATTTTAAGCTGATAATGTATTTTGAAGTGCTTCTCGTCTTCAGGAGGAGTAGTGCAAGCCATGGCGACGGCCGTGGACATAAGAGGCGTTGTGAAACACATCGTGGACGGAACTTTCGATGAAAATCTGTGCAGGGTTTGTTTATTACCCTTTGGAGATGTTTGTGAGAATATTTTCACCACTGTATGCAAAGGGGATCAAGAATTTTGTGTCGCTGATGTCCTGAAGAACGTTTGTCAAATACAGGTTAGTTTGGCGGATATAAATAGCCCAATTTTCACGATTTGAATCTTGTATTGTATTTGTAATTGTGAAACCCTGCAATTCCTGGACGCACTGCGCCCGTCACAATGAGAGACAAGTTGACAAGTCTCATGTGTCTTTTCACCAGCACCCTTCAAAACCGGAGCGCAGTAAAGCTCACATTACCGCTTGGCGGCAGAAATAGGTAAGGTGGCAGTACTTCCCTGGACGAACTACAAAACTGCTACTTCTGCCTATTGTACACAACAACACTCATCATTATTATTACACAACTCAACATTATTACAATAAGCATTGCATAAATTGTCTCACAAGATTTTAAATACTCAATTATTATAAGTGTAAGCTTTTTAAAAATAACTACTTTTTTATCTGCGTAATAGACAATATTCTGTTTCAATAATTATATTACTAATAATGAGCACTTTTAGCATATACAAATATGACAAATCGCAATACCAATTGGACATAGTTATTCAAACAAGAACCAACCCACACCTCGAGTGAAATTGAGTTATGTATTTAGGTAGAACACCAGACGTGTCCTTTACCCGCTCACAAAAGATCCTGGTAATATATCAAGCCAAAACGGAGAACATAAAAGTCCTTCAGGGTACCAACCCTAAATAAGTGACTTTTTAATAGCTAAAAAGAAACATGCTGCTTCATATAATGTATTTTTTTAAATATGCTAAATCAGGGGTTCCCCAACTTATTTTGTCTACTTAGTGACTTTGAGAATAAATTATTTTTTAGTGCCTCCATTTTTTCACCTACTTAAAAACCACTATGACTTCAAATTAAATTAATTATTGTGAGCTATATTAGCGGAGATTAAACATTCATTCTAAACAAGACTTTTACCATAACCTGCAAGAGTTAACTTGAGACCTGAGCGCAGTAGGTAGTACACAACGGCGCTTAGGTCTCAAGTTAACTCTTATGGGCTACACCTGCCAATGAGAACGATTATTGAAATGCAACTTTATAGTATTCAGATAGAGATCTTTTATTCAAAATGAAATAAACATAATCGATTCTAATATAAAAACTAACGTGAAGGATGAATCTGATGCTGTTTAATAAGTTTATTGATATTAGGTTCCAATTTACTCAAGAACAGCTGCAAGTCACCACATTCGGTAACATGCAAACAATTTCTCTTTTTAGTAAGCAGCGTTGTCACAGCACTAAAACCACGTTCACACAAATATGACGATGGGAATGCTATCAAGAATCATTGAACGAATGACCCCAATCCAGGGTACTATTGTGAGATTGGTTTTTGTAGCCAAAAATTCTTGGTAACCATTTTTGAACTTGATTATTATTTCCTTGTTCATTGTAAATTCTATAAGTTCTTCTTCCAGCTGAGGTGATATTGTTGTGTTGACATTTGAAAATGGTTCCAACACTCAGTCTGGTATTTCCAAGTTCAAAATGTCCTGGTATTGTTCGGTGAAGTCAATGTGGAGGTTTTCCAAATATTGGCAGTAGGCAAACAAGTAGTCATTACTGCAGGATGCTGATAAATTCGGAAAATTGTGAAACTCACGTCTGCCCATATTCTTTTTGTGTAGAAGCAGTTTGGCTGCGAAAGCAGCAACGACATTTTTTGTTTTAATTAAATTTAGTTCGTCACCTTGCAGTAGGAGATTCATGTCGTTGAACATTTTGTACAGGGTTGTCATGTAAGCTATATTATTATTATGTATAATGAGCTTGTTGCGCAATTCTGTATCTTTAGTTTTCAAGAACTCTATCACAGAGTTAAACGGGTTGTAAAATCGAGTCAGACAATTGCCTCTTGATAGCCAACGCACTTCAGTATGAAACAACAAACGGTTTAAATTCTCGTCATTAGTCATCGTCTTTGGCTGAGTATTACGCTTCTTCTCTAGGCATTGAAAATATGCTACATTCTTGTCTTTCTTATCTGGATGCATTTTATTCAAATGATCTTGCAGTCTTGAAGACTTCATTGCTTCATTCGAAAATGGTTTTAGACATAGAAGGCACAAAAGCGACGATGGGTTTGTGGGATTTTCAATGAATCCGAATTTAATATATTCCGCACAGTATTGCCTTCTCTTCTTTTTTACTTCCGACATTGTTTTGTTTTGAGAAATACGTAAGTACTTAAGTACTGCTTATCTATTACGCGCGAAAACCGCAAATGAAAATAAAATAAATATTACGTTGTTTATATAGGATTGCATAAGCAGCACGCACCGACAGGAATAAGGCAAACATGCATAAACTCGTTTATCTCATTCGACGCTCAGTCGTACTCAACAACTAAGAACAAGTATTCTATGAGCCAGCCGATTGATACAGGAATGCACAAATCGTGTTATTTAACAAAAACTTGTTAAAACATTATTGTCCGCGGTCTATTATCTACGAAAATTACCTATCTAGGAATACTAATAGCTATTAAAATGCGAAACTGTGTCTGTTGCCTTTTTATTTGTTTGTTTGTGTCTACTTTCATTTCAAAACGGATCGACCGATTGACGTGATTTTTATTTTATTTATTCAATAAAACAGGTCTGTAAATCTAAAAGTTGCTGTCAAATTTGTCATGGGCGTCATCATACTAAGCTACACTTAGAGAACAAGTCTCATACTATTCAAAGATCAACTGCCCAGCCAGAGGCCGTTGTATCCACTTTAAGCTCTACAATTCAACCGCCCCATGTTCATAGCATCCACAGTGTGTCTACTGTATTATTGGGCACGGCTGTGGTTGGAGTTAGAGACGCCAATAATTCCATTATTAAAGTTCGAGCTCTCATAGAAAGCGGTTCACAGGTCACCATAATTACAGAAACATTAGCACGGAAACTACAATTGCCTCGCTCCTGCCCTTCTGTACTCTTTGGATTAGGAGAAATTAGTGGACGACGCACCAATGGTAGTGTTCAGTGTGCCGTCCATTTGTTAATGGATCCAAGTAGTACCCCGTTGGTAACCACCGCAGTTATTCTTAAGCAGATTACTTCAACCACCAACCAGCCACCTTCCTAGTACCCAACTGGCTCCAGAAGTGGTAGGCAGGTGTAGAGATCTTAGGCTGGCTGATGATAAGTTCTCGGTGCCCGGACCCATAGACATGTTCCTTTGTGTAGAAATCTATGAACAAATGTTCAATTGACGCAAATTTTCTTTAGGCGAAAGATTTCCTTCCGCATACTCATCTATTTTCGGCTGGGTTCTGATGGGTAGAGCTCCATTGAAATCTTACGGTTCGCATCAAGCTGTATCTATGTCTTGTACCGTTGACCTCAATTCCATTCCTACAAAGTTCTGGGAAGTAGAGGAGGTTCCAACGAAAGCCATACAGGATCCAGAAGATCTGCTTTGCGGAAAGCATTTTGTAGAGACCCACTCTCGCGACTCTTTCGGTAGGTTTGTCGTACGCTTTGGATATGTGCCTCTAGGTTCAACATTTGATAGCGCTCTTAAGCGGTTTTGTGGTTTTAGAACGGAAACTCAGCAAAGACAGCGCTGAAGTTTTAGAAACTTATCCAGCCGACCATTTAGAGAAACCTCTCCGTTTCGAAGAGTCAGGAGATAACATTTTTAAGATACTGGGAGTAGAGTGGAACTCTGCATCGGATAGTTTCGTTTGTCAGGTCTCAAATCTAGGTACGTGCCGTACCAAACGAGAAATTCTTTCCAACATCGCTCGTATCTAAGACCATCGCGGTTACTTAGCGCCCGTTACCTTTTTCGCTAAGGTCTTAATGCAGCGAGTCTGCAGCCTAGATATTTCCTGAGACGATCAACTGCCAGACAGATCATTAAGCTCTGGGATACATTCGCAGAGACTTTCAAACTCCTTAAACTACTACAAATACCCAGATTTATACTCAGCACAAACGCATACACATGCGAGATTAGGGGATTCTGCGATGCGTCTGAAAACGGTTACGCCGCCGTTATATACCTTTGAGTTCAGCACTCTTCCGGCGAAGTCAGCGTTCATCTGTTTCGTGGCCGGTCTCTTGAAGCTCCTTTACGTCAAAAGCTGGCCATTCCACGATTCGAGCTCTGCGGGGCCGTGCTCCTTGCTCGACTGATTGGTCACTATATGGGCCTTTTATAAGGCAAAATCAACTTAAGTGGTGCCACTGCGTGGTGCGACTCTACTATCGTGCTTGCGTGGTTGCGCACTCCACCGCATAAGCTGCAGACCTTTGAGGGGAATCGTGTTTTCCAGGTCCAAGGCCTAATACCATCCGCTGGGTGGCGATACGTACCCTCCGCGTCCAATCCCGCGGATTGCGCGAGCAAAACTTCCAAGGGGCCGTTAACTACCTTGACAGTCAACAAGTTAGGAATAAATTAACTAAATTCGGTGTCAGATGGCATATGACTTATTTTTTTACTCATTAGCCTTACGCTCCACATATGGGTGGGCTGTGGGAGTCGACGGTAAAGTCAGCTAAGCAATTGCTGCTTCGAACGGTAAGAGAACAGGTGCTCACTTTCGAAAAACTGTGCAGTGTTCGCTAGGGCTGAGGCAGTTCTTAACTCTAGGCCGTTATGTCCATTGACAGACGACACATCTAATCTTGACACGCTTACACCCGGTCATTTCCTTATTGGTCAGCCGCTGGTTAGCCTGCCCGGGAACACCATCGATGACACACATCTCACCGTTGAGGCGTTGGAAACTTGTACAACAAATTTCACAACAGTTCTGGCGAAGATGACAGAGCGAATATCTTCACAACTTACAGCAGCGCTCTAAGTGGTGCAAACATACCCCTCAGGGCTTTGCAATTTAAAGCTCGAGTGCCACTGCAACTGTTATAGATAGGTGTGTTACCATTAATCGCACAACTTGTTCATTCCATCATTTGGTATCATAAAAACAAAAAAAATCTATAACAGTTGAAATAGAAATCTATAAAAAAATCTATAATAGTATCTTACCAAAGTATTTTTCATAGTTTTCAGATTCAGACAAAAGCAACATATGCTCAGAATGCTTCACTAAGGCAGTTACAGTGTACAAATTCTATCGCACAGCAAAATACAGTGAGGAAATACTAAATTTCTACATTGAGGACCTGGAACGAAGTGTGTTCTCAGTAGAATTACCAGAACAACCTTCAAATGACTCGATTTGTATCACATTACCAGATATTGAACCTCATTTTGGATTCTTAGACATCGATCCTAATATTTGCACTAACAACTTTTCTTTAGACCTCTATGGGTCTACAGTCATGGACCAAGAAGTTAGTGTCAAAAAAGAGCATGTAGATATTAAAAATAATTCAAAATCTTTCCAAAATGATGATGATAACATAGTGGTTGTTGTAAAAGAAAATGGTGAACCCTTGTATTATAAAATGAACAGCAATAGTACCCTTGAATTAGTAAGTGCTGATAAAAATGAAAAAATCAAAGACGAAGTTCAAAAAGTCAGACAAGTAAGCAAATTACGGAAAAAGAGGGATCCTATGGTATATAGAAAATGTAGTAAATGTCCTGTGAAGTACCGATTTATAGCAAAATTAAAGGAACACATGAAGACTGATCATAACATTGATCTTTTTGTTTGTAAAGTGAGTATGAAGTTTGTTTATTATTATTAATGCTTTGGTACATTGGTAGATAGAGATCTGGAACCCAATGCTTGCTTGGTTAATCTACCAAATTGACCAAGCAGCGCCATTATGGAGATCTCAAGGCCCATAAACCATTGCCAGATGCTACAGGCATACATAAATCTAGTGATTTTGTCTTTGATTTTCTTTTTTTGTCCAAAAACAGAATATTTATCTAGGAGTAATTTTGACGCGCTGACGATACGCAGATAACGCGCGTTAACGCGATTAAACGCGCTTAAACCATTGCACACGTTCACAAATTCAGTAGCACCGTAAAGGCGCGTTAGTGACATGCGCGTCATCTGCGACGTGGTGCACGCGCCCTTTCCCCGCCCCTTCTCAGTCTTGCAACCAGATGCAACGCATGTAAAACGCGATACAGACGAGTTTTGAACGCGTTTCTCTCACACGTCTATATAGCTTTCGTACGCGCGGTTAAAGCAATATATCTACTTTTTGAGCCTCGACGTTTAAAACGCTCATCGTGTAAAAAATACGCCGTATGCATAGGCTCTAAAGCATAGGATCCCAAACTTTTTGGTTCACCGCCCACTTGGCAAGTTAAAAAAATTTCAACTCCTGCCACCACAAAATAATAATTGAAAACATGTATTTTTTATATTGACTTGACTTGAAAAAATCGCAAGGGAAAAAAATATATTTGTAGTGTAGTTTATATTGATAATTGAGATCTTTTTTTCAAATGCGGTAGCATCCCGTGGTGGACAGCATCACGTAGTCCTGCAGAAGTCTGCAGGACTACGATCTTTCTTCTATCTTTTAAACATATACGAGAAAGTTTTCTTGGGTTGACAACGATTTCTGAAGGTGAATTTGGTCCTTAGAGGTCTGGATTTAATCCAGGAGTTATTCGCCAAAATATTTTAGTTTACATTTAGTTTACACAATGAGTCCTTTTTATCCTTAGTATGAAATTTGCAGAGTGCCACCTTGAGCACATACTTGAGCAGGCTTGTTTTTATAACAAATATAAATTTCAGGTGTGCAAAGCAACATACGAAAACGAATTAGAATTCAATGTACATCTAAAAACCCATACAAACATTCTCTGCTGTCACATCTGCAATGCAGCGTTTAAGAAACGTGACACCATCATAGCTCATCTCCAATGGCACGAAGAAACCGACAACATGAGCCAGTTGGAAGGCGCTCATGTCTGTGAACTGTGCGGAGTGATCCTACCAGGTATTATTTTATTTAAAATAAGCTTGCAAAACAAAACTCAAAACGGAGGTATAGGAATGATTTGGACTCCTTTAGCCTAAAACCGGTACTGACAGAAAAAGAGACACAACTGGCTTATAATAAATAAAAAGATAGGCTTACATTTGTTTGACAATGGAGGTTTACTTTTGCCTAATTAATATCTGTTCATTCTTACCTTTAAAATACCCCGGTTGTATTGTTGTACAGTTATTCAACACAGCAAAAAGTTCCAATAGTTAACAGTACTGTAATGAATAAATGCTAGTGAACATCGCTCTCAAAGGAAAGCAACCTTGGTGTTGCTATCCATGGCTGATGATGACCATCTGTCAAGCTTGTCTGCTAGAATACAAAGTTCGAACAAACACAAAGAAAAATTCCTTCAATCCAACTGGACTCGAACCAGCGTCTGTTGCCACACCGTGGCTACCGGTCTTTCCAACTAATCTGATCGAGTCAATAGACCTTACGAATTTCTCTATATGCTCGCTGTGTATTGGGTTTAAACGGCTTTTTTGTCGTAGCGCCACCTGTGAGAGACTCATGAAAATTTCTTAATTGAGCCAGGTACTTTTAAGTTACCAGTGACTGCCGAGAGATGTCGCTATATTAATTGTAATGTTTTTATTGAATAACATGATGTTTTTACTAACCATGACATTAGAATATTTTTTGTGGAAAATTTTTAACCTAGTTTGTTATTTAGTATGGACACAAAAATCGAATAAACAAAAAAATACCTTCGATCAGACTGGGCTCGAACCAGCGTCTGTTGCCTCACCGTGGCTACAAACTAAATAGTATAGTCACAAAAAGTATATGAATATTATGGTAGATATATAGATAAACCGTTTATTCAGCACAAATACAAGCAGTGACAAACATTTACAATCACTGCACAAGATATACCACAAAAACGCATGAAACACATTGATATAAACACAAACGCTTGGAGAGCTCGTTGTGAAAGAGTTCATCCTTGGAAGTACTGCCACCTTACTTATTTCTGCCGCCAATCACTAATTTTAGCATTACTGCATTCCGGTTCTGATGGGTAGGGGTGCTGGTGAAATTACAGGCACATGGGACTTGTCAACTTATGTCTCAGGGTGACGGGCGCAGTGGTAGTACCCCTCTGATCTTGGCGATTTAAAGCTCTACGTTACACTGCAACTGTTATGGACAGGCGTGTAGCTTACCGTATGCGCACGACTTGTTCGTCCCGTCACTTGACATTATAAAAAAAAATGTTGAGAAAACATAAATTTTATTTGCAACTGTTTGTTGCAAATAAAGTGTGTTGTTCAGTAAAATAAAAATGTTGTAAATAACTTTTTATGGTGTTTTGGGGCAGTACCCATCAAGTTGCCTCTTATACTCCATAGTACGGGGAATTACGGGGGTTTCGGCCCACGTAATACGGGTGATTGACCTGCATACTGAGTGCCTTTTTTTATACATATAGATTAAAATGGTAATATGTTTTCAGACGAGGAACGGCTGCAAGAACATAATGATACGAAACATGATAAAAAATACACTTGTTATTATTGCGGAAGAATGTACAAAGGCGAACATAGTTTTGAAATGCATATTAAAAAACATGAGTTAAAGATGAAGCCAGAAGATAAGTAAGTATCAAATATATATATATATAATTATTAGCCTATTATTGTGCCGGGAAAAGGCCGTTCTTCTCGACTTTTGCAGCTACTGGTATGGCGCAATGTCAGGTCAATCCCTTATATACACGTCTCACTTACTGTGGCCTCGTTCAAGGCTTCGTCACTCGCTCAAAGTTACGCGATAAGTGTACCGACGTCGGCACAAGTCTTTCATTTATGAGCATTCGGCTCCGCGCGACTGCACACAGCGGGCAACGTAATTTTCACCTCTCTGAGCGCGTGCTTAGGTTCCTTTTGCCTCGTAGTGAGCGCCTGGTGTTGTTCAGCAGATTTAGTAGGCTATTATAGCGTAGATAATTTCGATTTTGTATGAGCTCAATGGCAGTGCCCATAAGCTCTAAATAAAACTTCGAAAGATATCTCTAAACGTAGAACATAATGAGCCTTCGAAATTATATATTTCTAATTGTTGGGGGATTTTTGCGGAAAACAATTCACTATTTGAAATTTTTCGGAAAACTACAACCAACAGGAGGCACACGGGACTTATCAACTTATGTCTCAGTGGACGCAGTGTCAGTGCTCCTAAGTTCTTTGCGATTTAACGCTCTAAGCACTGCAACTGTTATGGATTAGCGTGTCGCTTACCACCAAGCACACGACTTGTTCTTCGTGTTATAAAAAAATTAAACAGTAATATGAACATCACTGCGTTCCTGTTTTAAAGGGTAAGGGTGCTGGTGAAATTACAGGCACATTGGACTTATCAACTTATATCCCAGGGTGACGGACGCAGTGACGGTGCCCCTCAGATCTTTGCGATAAAGCTGAGTGGCATTGCAACTGTCATGCATACGTCGCGTGCCAAGCGCACAATTTGTTCGTCCCGTCGCTTGATATCATCATAAAAATCATAAAAACAAAATATTTGTCAACAAAACAAATAAACATTCTTTAATTTGATTATTCGTCATGTGCCAACATACGTGCTAAAGTACAAGTTCAAGTGTACAAAACGTTGAAAATTAATACGAAGTCTGATTTAAACAATGTTTTATGAGTTTTTTTTTCAATACTTGAAAAATACATGTCTAATGTTGGTTAAAAAACCATCAGACGCCATCGCCGACAATTTTACGATCGGTGCACATCTCTAATGCTGATAAAATCGTGATTGAAAATCGGTTGTTATGTTTCCAGGCGCAAACACCTAGAGAAGACTAAACAAGATACAGAGAACACAAAGTCCAGAAGCAAGCAGCTCATGTGCTCCACATGCGGAAAGTACTTCGTGGACGAACGCGCATTGATGTGGCATACCATGCTGCACACCAACGAGAGGCCTTTCAAATGTGATGTGAGTGCTTCAATACATAGGGCGCACTATAAGTTTCCGGAACTGGCCACTTACATAAACAATATTTAAAAAATAATTACAGCATTTCAAAATGGAACTCTTTGGCTGTAGAATACAGTTTGTTTCATCTGACTGTCACTTGTTTTTACATTTTAGAAATTGGTTGTCTACATCACCATGGATTTAACTCGTGAAAATTTTTAAAATAGTATGATTTTCTACGACTTTAAGGGTAATCCAACAGGTAAGCGGAGCTTCACTCGGCTTTAAACTACTTTTGACTATGAAGCACCATGCAAGACGACTATTAGCTGGTTTGCAGAATTCGAACGCGGTCGTGTGAATCTCAGTGACGAATTTCGTGATGGTCGCCCGTCCACTGCGGAGGCATGTGACATACCATGACATTCGGGTATCTTTCGGCATAGGCATGAGTCAAATAGCGTGACACACTACCTTAATTGCCACATTAGTACTTACCAAAGGGTTATGCTCGGCATATGCGGCACCTGCGGCAGTCAGTTCCTTTGCTTATTACCTCTTTCTTTTTTTTCCGTTTACGGGCTTGATTGCATGGTATCAGGTGGCGATCTTATCCTTTTATGTTTTCCTCATTCTCTTCCTGTAATATACATATACTCGTACAATTCATTACTAATATGAAATCAATATGATTTTATTTTAATTCATTATTACACAATTACCCATCAATATCCATTACGAATACAATTTATGTATAGAATAAAAAAAGTTAATAATAATGTTATGAAGAGTACTTACCCTAGCTTTTACATTGAACAATAATAAATAATTAATAATAAAAAATAAATAATAATAAATAATTGTAAATTTATTACGAATGTGCACCTTTATGTACTATATCTATGACTTTTATAAACCGAAATACAGCGTCCAGCTACGCTAGTCCCTTCGGCGGCGGCGCGAGCGAACGACGCAAGTATTCAGTTTGGGTATTCGTAGGAGATAAGGAAAGAAAATATGTGCAGCGCAGTTGCGCAACCAAACAGGTTGTTGCCTGTTCGAAAGTCACCCGCTCCCGCACCTCGCCTCGAGCCTCCGATCGAGTGGACATGACACTTCACATAATTACCTGTACATTTCATATACTATCCAATTTGTATGAAAATATTAGAATTTAAGTTTATTTTATCGATATACTGTTATTTACATATCATAAGTATCTCTCATTTGTCTGTACGCTACCTATTAAGTCGGTTTTCTTGTCTGTTTATTTATTTATTGTTGAGTTCTGTATTGTTGTCAGTGGGTCACTCGCCCCGGGCTTTCTGAAAATCAGCGCCACGAAATGGTTGTAAAAAAGCCGTTTGTGGCTAAAGCTGAGCAAGTTCCGATTGCACCAGCCGCGACACGCATGACGGTGAATTAGGTACTCCATTACAATTGTTTTAATTTACTTTTTTTTTAGTTATTATTTTTTCATTATTTATTTTGGACTCTCGCTTCTCCGAGGGCCTAACAGATTAATTTTGAATTGTTATTATTATTATTATTGTTCCTCTGTTGTTTTGTTTATATGCATGTCTGTGCTTGTGTAATAAAGTTTTCTTTCTTTCTTAAATACAATCAATACTACACAAACATTTGGGTGTGAAAAGGCTGTGCTCTCGATGGATCCCACACAATTTGATTGAGGCTCAAAAGACGGATCGGGTCACTTGGTACAATGGTATGCTTACATCAAATTTGGTGTAGGTAACAGGTGATGAAACATGGATTTATAATTACGATCCCAAAACAAAGCAGCAATCGAGCGTATGGGTCTTTCGAGACGAGCCGAAACCAACCAAAGTGGCGCGCGTGCAAAGTGTCTCTAAGCGGATAATTGCTTCTTTTTTAATAAAATCCAACGTGGCTGCTCTTGCACCACGATAATGCCAGTTCTCACACGGCCAGACAGACAAATGAATTTTTGAAGGTGAACAAAGTTGACCTTATGAGCCATCCCGCGTACAGTCCCGACCTGGCACCTTGTGACTTTTATTTATTTCCAAAAATTAAGAACCAGTTACGCGGTCAACGATTTTCATCACCTGAAGAGGCTGTCAAAGAGTATGAAAAATATGTTTCAGAGACTGTCACGGAGGAGTGGCATAAATGCTTTCAAAATTGGTTCATTCATGTGAAATAGTGCATTAACGCGAACGAAGAATATTTTCAGAAACAATAAATTAATTTCTATAGTATTTTTTCTTATTCATTCCGGAAACTTATAGTGCGCCTCACGTATACACTTTATTGCATGGGCTTGCTCCCGCAAACTGGTTCGTGATGAGTGCGCAGATAAACGTACAGTCATGCTGCGTAGTCCTTAAAAAATTTTGCTAGTTGGTAAACTGCTACATGGCATTATTATTATTTTGGACATGTATTTTAGGCGGTAGTCCCCGGCAATGGCACAGTTTGCCGGGGTCAGAGACTCAAGTTCAAGAACCGGCGAACAATACGTGTCGTATCGAGCAAGACGACTTCAATTTTTATTATTATTAACTTGTGACTTATAAATGTGCGCTTGCAGACGTGTGGTCGTGGCTTCGTGTCGGCAAACCGCCGTAACCAACATTCGTTGTGCGCGCATAGTGTGCCCACGCGACGATGCCCGCTCTGTCCTGCACTTTTTCATCTCACTTCTATGGTCAATACGCATATAAAAAAGGTAAGGGTGTTGGTACACACACTCAACAGTAAAGTATCCCAAACTGTAAAATTTTTAAACTGCGCAGAATTCGCGCACGACTTGCTCGTCCCGTTACTTGGTATTATAAAAAAGGTATATTTGAACGCTACGTAAAGTACAGTCAACAGCATAATTTGATTTATATATTAGGTTTTTTTCGATCAATTTCCACTCATTATTATACAGAAGACATCAACATAATTGCGACACAAACCTTCATTTTCAAAAATAGTCCTCTCGGGAATCGAACTGGGATCGTCGAAAAAGTTGCATAACCTTCACATATCAACATTCCAGGTTCATCTGAAAGCACACAAACGCCGGAACCGCGCCAGCAAACACCTGAACGTGTACTGGCGCACGGAGGCCGTGCCGATACAGGAGCTCAGTGTGGACATCCAGAACGAACTCCTCGAGCTGCAGGCCAAGGACGCCAAATCCCCGGTGCTATACGACACGGGGGATATTGACTGGGTATGTTATAATTTCATCAACCCGTTTGTACGTCTCACTGCTGGACACGGGTCTCGTCTCAGGCGAGGTCGTCCAGGGAAGTACTGCCACCTTACATATTTCTGCCGCCAAGCAGTAATGTGAGCTCATCGAGTGTATAACTAGAAATAGAAACGAAATGACGGCTATACATTCCTGTTAACTCATCAGTGATACATCACTTATAAATATTAACTCTCGTTTGCACTGATATATAGACAGCGCCAACAACTGACCTGTGTATACGTCTCCGTGTATTCCAAAAATATTTTGTATTTATTGTAGTAAAGATAATATCTCTAACAACGGCGTGCTGTGCCATTCGGTGGTGTGGGAAAAACAGCAAAATATCTAATTACAAAAACACGGAATCAAATTTCATCGGTAATTAAATATGTAGTAGGAAATGAAATTTGAATGAAAATGGACCTGTAACGGGCCCGAACGTCGGTTTGTTTGAAAAAACAAATATACGCCATTTAAATCCGGTAAAATGTTTCATTTCCTATGTGTAACAATCGCGAAATGTAATTTTGCAATATTCGTCTAGTATAGCAAAGCTCAAGTTAACTGGTCGATTTGAAGTGAAACAATTACGACACCCGTCAATTGTTTCGAATTGGGGCTGGCCAATCGCAGCCCAGTTGTCACAGTAATGATGTGGCAGAATAGTTTTCAAACAAAATAAATGGTTTTTCGTCTCTTTATATGCAAATGCAAATTATAATTATTAATTTTTTTTAAAGACAGTAAAAGTTTAACTACTAGAAAGTAAAACTAGGATTTTTAAATCGTATGAATAAAATTCGTCTCTATTTCTGGTTATATACTTGATGTGCGAGCATTGCTGTGCAGGCACTAGTGAAATTACACACATGGGACTTTTCAAGTTATGTCTCTGGGTGACGGGCGCAGTGGCAGTGCACCTCAGACCTTTGCTATTTAAAGGTCTGAGTGGCACTGCAATTGTTATGGACAGGCGTGTCGCTTACCATCAGGCGCACGACTTGTTCGTTCCGTCACTTAGTATCATAAAAAAAGACCATGCTGGCCGAATTGAAATATTGAAAGCCTTCTCACGTTTTCGGACGGTTGTGTACCTTCTACATGCAGGTTTCGTCACGATGTTTTCTTCACCGAAAAGCTCATGGTTAAGTTTTAAGTTAAGTTTCGCGCATAAATTCCGAAAAACTCAAGAGGTGCAAGTTCAGAATTGAACCCACGGGCTCTGCTTGAGAGGCGGTAAACAATTAGGCTACTACTGACTACTAAAGATTACTAAAAAGACCGTGTTTTTGTTGTAATTTAAACCAAAGAAAAATAATAGCATAGTTGGGAGAATGCTTGCCTCCTTCATTGGTGGTTCTGGCGTCGATTCCCAGTTTATAGTCTAGTTTATTATTATACAGGGAGTATAATCGGTAAGGGTAAGTACCTAATAGGTAAATCAACATCAATAACTTTTTAAAAATAAAACTAGAAAATATCCAAAATTTTAACAATAAACACTGCCATACATTTAATAGGACATTTGTAGAGAGGCTTTAACGATCCCAATAAATTGTATAATTCAGTTTTCAACATAGTGAAAAGTGAACGTGATAATGTTTTTAAGTCCAAAATCATAACTATTAATAATTCATTGAAATTTAGTGAATGGGCGACTGTGGGAATTCACAAAAGTAGACAAAGGCTGTATGATCTTTACGATGAAAGAACTTATAACACTAGTAACAGTTTTAATGATTTTGTTAGGAAATATTCGAAAATGTTTAAACGTGTTTGTGTGGCAGCCAAAGCAATGTTTATTAATAATAAAATAAACAGCAGCGCGAATGTAGTAAAAACGACTTGGAATATTATAAATAGCGAAACTGGAAGGGTCAAACCTCGTAACTTAGATTTTCAACTAAGATTTAATGACAAAATTGTAAACACAGACGCAGAAGTTGCTAAAATATTTGAAAATGTTTTTACCAACATTCCAATTTTGACTACTAATTCGTTAAATTCATCTCCCACGGCCGCTGAATCCTTACTAAAAGAAAATAATGCAGTTAGTAGCACTAATTTAAGGTTCCGTCATGTATTTCCAAACGATATTGTTAAAGCCTTTAAGTCTATAAATATAAAAAATACTGCTGATCTTGATGGTCTTTCAGTCAGAGTAATTAGTTCTATAGTTGATTGTATTGCGCCTTACTTAGCCTGTGTCTTTAATAAATGTGTTGATGATGGTGTCTTTCCTGACCTCATGAAGCAAAGTAAAGTTATTCCACTTTTCAAATCTGGTAGTATTTCTGACCCCACCAATTTCAGACCTATATCAATACTACCAACTCTCAGTAAAATATTTGAAAAAATTATTCTAAATCAGATGTGTGCACATTTTTATAGTAATAATTTAATGTCTCCTAAACAATTTGGTTTCACTCGGGGTCGCTCTACAACCGACGCTGGTGTAGAGTTGATTAATCATATATTTGATGCATGGGAAGTCTCACATGATGCTATTGGTGTATTCTGTGACCTTTCCAAGGCTTTTGATTGTGTGCACCATGATACACTGGTCAGGAAACTTCGCCATTATGGTGTGGCGGGACGTGATCTCGACCTTCTTAAATCGTATTTGCGTGGTAGGGTACAGAGGGTCGATGTTAACGGTACGAGATCGTCAGGGTCTGTAATTAGCATGGGTGTCCCTCAAGGTTCAATTCTAGGCCCATTTTTGTTTTTAGTTTATATTAATGATTTACCTAGCCTTATGGAGGGTATAAATCATGAGATAGTATTGTTTGCTGATGATACTTCCTTATTATTTAAAGTTAAAAGGCACCAATGTTCCTATGACGATGTGAACAATGCTATATCTAAAGTAGTTGATTGGTTTGCTGTTAATAACCTACTTCTTAATGAGAAAAAAACAAATTGTGTGAAATTTACATTACCCAATGTTAGAGAGACGGTTACAAACATTGTAGTTAGAAACGAAAAATTGAATCTTGTGGATACAGTTGTATTTCTAGGTATAACGTTAGATGCTAAATTGCAATGGGGTCCCCATATAAGTAAGTTGTCAAAACGGCTCAGCTCTGCAGTGTACGCGATTAAAAAAATAAGGAAACTTTCAGACGTCGAAACCGCTAGATTGGTTTACTTCAGCTACTTTCACAGTCTAATGACATACGGCATTTTGCTTTGGGGTAATGCCGCCGATATCAATAGAATCTTTGTCCTGCAGAAACGTGCAGTTAGGGCAATTTACAATCTGGGCCCCAAAGTATCTTTGAGAGATAAGTTTAAGGAAATTAACATTCTTACACTAGCCTCACAATACATTTATGAAAATATAATTTATGTTAAAAGGAATAGTAATTTCTTTATGAAAAATAGTGACAGACATAACATTAATACGAGGAATAAAAATAAACTAGCTTTTCTTGATAGTCGTCTTCACAAAGTCAAACAATCATTTAAGGGGCAATGTATACGCTTCTATAACAAGATTCCGGTTGATATACAAAATTTGCCTTTCACGAGGTTTAAAACTATAGTGAAACAAAAACTTTATACTAAAGGTTATTATACAACTTCTGCGTACTTGGATGACAAAAATCCGTGGTAGTAACCCGTTTAGCTCATGGAGGTAGTCTCAATCTGATGTTTCAAATAAAAAAATATTGTATATAATAATGTTATTTACAAAGAGCAACCCCTAGAGTTTCTTGCTCATTCTTCTCAGGGGAATCTGCCTTACGAATGAGCGGTAGAGTTTAACCATTGTGACGATTTCAAGTGTAATAATGCTTACCTATGAAATAAAGATTATTTTGATTTTGATTTTTTTGATTTAGTTTTCCTATTAAGAGGTAACAATAAGTTAGAACAAATAACGAAGCTGATTTATATAAAGTACTAAAACTATCTTTTAATTGAATAAAAATATGATAGCACAGTCAATTATTTGGTCAAGTGTGAGTTGTCCATAAAAATGTCTCTAAAAAACTAAATTATAGAGAGCTTGTAAGCGTTTTGGTTGTGACTGTAAGTAAACAAAATTGTGTTTTTATGACGAAATGTATAAAATACATTTTTCTTGTTTCAGACTACACAGAATCCCGCGTGACCCTGACGAATGATTTGTATTTATATCTTTGTTATTTGTAATTTGATTCTTTAAAAAAGTGAAACCTTACATAATTATGAACTTAAGTTATATGTAAAGATAACATATTTATATCAATAAAACATTATAAACCGATTTTTTTGTGTAATCATTGAGAAATAGACATTGTTGTTTTGTACGTACCACCAGGTCCACAAAATTTTATTTTATTTCTATGACTCTACATTGCTGCGAAATGGCATTAAGCAAAAATTTTATTTATAATCATAGCATAATGAACTTTACGTTGATTGTGTAACGTACAAACTAGGGATACAGAATGTTTTGGGTTAAATCGAATTTTTTTGATTTATGTATTGGATCATATATGTACGTCTTTGAATCTTTGAATATTCTCTTGAATCGATCTCATAAAAATCGTTTCAAAATTAATTTCGATTTTAAATATTTAAAATTGACAGCCTTTTTATGGTTTGAGTCGGTTACGACTTTCATTTAGAGCATAGTTTCTCAAAGTGGT